GCTCCTCTCAGTCCTCTTTTGGACTAGGCTCTGACCTTGGGCTTGTCCTTAGCTTACTTAGTTCAGTTTTAGCAAGAATCCTGCTGAGTCAGTTTGGCAAAAATCCCCTACACTTGGTATCTGATCATCTTGGCTCACGCTCAGCAAACATCCCCCTAGCCTTTATGTGTCCTCTAAGTAATTTTCCATCTACTGACCTCCACCCTGTTGCTTGACTATAAATCTCCACCTGTTCTGGTATTTGATGTTAAGCCTGATCTTTCGCCCCTGCTGCAAAACCCCCATTGCAGCTCTTCTTGAATAAAGTCTCTTACCTTCTTTAATAATTGTTTGAATAATTTTTCTTTTAGTCCCATTTCCCACTGTAACATGCTGTGTGAATCTCAATTTTCTCATCTGTATAATGGGAAAAACTAATACCTCCATCTCTGAGGCATGGAAAAGATCAAGTGAGATTAAAAGTATGGCTGGGCAGGGTGGCTCACACCTGTAATCCCAGCACTTTGGGAGGCCAAGGCAGGCAGATCACTTGAGGTCAGGAGTTCAAGACCATCCTGGCCAATATGGTGAAACCCTGTCTGTACTAAAAATACAAAAATTAGCCAGGTGTGGTGGTTTATGCCTGTAGTCCCAGCTACTTGGGAGGCTGAGACAGGAGAATCACTTGAATCCAGGAGGAGAAGGTTGCAATGAGCTGAGATTGCACCACTGCACTCCAGCCTGGGCAATGGAGACTCCATCTCAAAAAAATTAAAATAAAAAACTTAAAGTGTAAAGATAAAAATCACCATTCTTGGGCAGGGGTCCCAGCTGTGGCCCAAGCTGGAGAACTAGACTAGCTTGGAGTTAATTTGCTTGGGGCAGGAGAAGGGTCACCTGAAAGAGATGGGCAAAGCTGAGGCTGCCCCTGGGAAGAATAGGGAAGCCTGCCCCCAGGCCAGGCCCTTGAATATGTCCAACTCAGCAGGTGGAAAGAAGCTCAAGGTACCCAGGGAGACAAAAGTTGTTCACTTTGATGCACATGTGGATCCAACACGGGAGAAAGAGGCATTCTGCTCTCACCCAGGGAACGCAGCTTCTTTGACTGCTGCACAATTTGTAGTCTGCAGGAGTGGCAGAGCACCCCAGTGGATGCAGGCCCAGATGTTCTCTGGGTTGGGTGTAAGGACTTCTGGGAGTCATTAGATAGCAGGCATTTGCCCCAGTGTCGGAGATGTTTAAACCAGAGTGACTCCATCTTGAATAAGGGCTGGGTAAAATGAGGCTAAGACCCACTGGTTTGCGTTCACAGGAGGTTACGAATTCTAAGTCACAGGATGAGATAGAAGGTTGGCACAAGATATAGGTCATTAAGCCCTTGCTGATGAAACAGTTTGCAGTAAAGAAGCTGGCTAAAACCCACCAAAACCAAGATGGCGGTGGGAGGGACCTCTGCTCATCCTCACTGCTTATTATGCACTAATTATAATACAGTAGTATGCTAAAAGACACTCCCACCAGCACTATGACAGTTTACAGATGCCATGGCAACGTCATGAAACACCCTATGTGGTCTAAAAAGGGGAGGAACCCTCAGTTCCGGGAATTGCCCACCCCTTTCTCTAAAACTCATGAATAATCCAACCCTTGTTTAGCCATCCTTTTATTCCTTTGCTTTCTTAATAAACTTGCTTTGGCCTGGGCGTGGTGGCTCACACCTGTAATCCCAGCACTTTGGGAGGCCGAGGTAGGTGGATCACAAGGTCAAGAGATGGAGACCATCATGGTCAACATGGTGAAACCCCGTCTCTACTAAAAATACAAAAATTAGCTGGGCATGGTGGCGCGCGCCTGTAGTCCCAGCTACTCGGGAGGCTGAGGCAGGAGAATTGCTTGAACCCAGGAGGCGGAGGTTGTGGTGACTCAAGATCGCGCCACTGCACTCCAGCCTGGGTAACAAGAGCGAAACTCCGTCTCAAAATAAATAAACTTGCTTTCACTTTACTCTATGGACTTGCCCTGAGTTCTTTCTTGCATGAGATCCAAGAACCCTCTCTTGGGGCCTGGATCGGGACCCCTTTATGGTAACACCAGGAGCCACCCTGGGTGGGTTTCCTGAACCGATAGATGAGCCTTCCACGTGGGGAGACCTGGATCCTTATTGCCTGTGGTGCAGAGGAGGCCCGGGCCGCACTCGAACTGTCAGTCTGGCATGCGCAGCGCCGGCGTGCAAGGGGCCTTGGGTGCCACGGAGTCGGGGAGGAAATCTAGGCCGCCACGTGCCCGAAGGCCGGCACATGTGACCACCACCCAACATGTAATTCAATAAGGACTTGGAAGTCCTTCATCTAAGGCCACACAGATAAACGATTACCAACTGTTTACCTCATGGCCCCTCCTCATCGCGCCGCGTGGCCCGCGCCTGCGCACTCAGGCGCTGCCTGCAGGAGGAACGTACCAACTGTGGGGCAGGGGTGCGCGAGGAGACGCGGGCTGCGCTCCCGGAAGTGACCCCTGGTGCGTCCCGGAATCCAGAGCGCCCACCCCGGACTTTTGCCAGCAACTTGTCGCGTTCCGGAAGCCCACCCCGGACTTTTGCCAGCTCCTTGGCGCTGGGGAGCACGTTGGCTTTCTCGGGTGGTGGGCGCTGGGGTCAGGGTCCGGTGGGCAGCGGGCCTCTTCCCAGCTTGGCCTGCGTGGTTTCCGCGGGCTGCAGGCCCCACCCTTTCAGGTAAGAGGGGACTGGGCCGCAGAGGTTCAGGGGAAGGGGCGGCTGCTGGGACCGTGCCGACCCCGGGGGCCCCCTCCTAGGCCAAGCCGCGCCTCTCTACCCTTGCCGCCGCGCCCAAACACTGGGCGAGGCCAAGATCTTTCGGAACAGCCGGCCCTTAACCATCGCTCCCTCTGTGCCAAGAACTGCCCTGAAATACTGTTATATTAATTAACTCGTTTAACCCTAACAATCTCATGAGGCGGGTGCTGTTACTGCTCTCACGGTGTAGACGAGGAAGCCGAGCACCATCACGGCCTTGCGCGGAGAGGGGCTCTGGATGCCACGTTCTGAGTCTATTTTTAGCCCTAAGCTTCCAGAAAAGAGCAGAGTGCTGTTGTGTAGTTTGAAACAGATCTCACTTTGCGTCTCTTGTGCACAGTATGAAAACTAATGATGCATGATTATTTAAAACATCTTGCTTAGGCTTTATAAGAAGGCAAATTTGCATATGGGACAAAACCCCAAAAGATGGGATAGCTTGCTCTCCTCTTTTCCTTTCACACGTTCCTCTCTTCCAATCCCTTTCTCTCACTACCTTTCAGTCTTCTCACGGATGTTGTGGGGGAAGGTGACACTTGCGGCCCCAGCAGGTGCTTAAAATCCCCTACCTGGTTGGGGGTGGAGTAGACACTCCCTCTTCCCGCAGTGCTGGAGTGAGAGCAGAGGGACTGTTGGACCTGGACGGAGTGAGGGTGAGAAAGGCCTGGCTTAATCATGGTATACCCAGGGTGGGATTCTACTTCTCTTGTAGGCACTAGAGAAGTAGAAAAGTGGCCCCTGTCCTTCTGGGCATGCACTTGGGAAAAGGCCTGATATGAGTAGTGAGAAGAACGTCTCTAATTTCTTGAGCCAGTATAAGTTTGTGCGGAGATGCTTCCCATCCCAGGCTAAGCCAGATCACTCAGTCAGCCGCTGGCTGCCTTTACAGATGTACGGCTCCCCATCAGGAATCGACAACCTGGCTCTCAAGCATAAACTGCCTCACTTCCCTCCTGTACTGCACTCTAGGACTTGCCTGCCACCAGACCCATCCTACTTCCTCTGCCAGGAAAAATAAGGTTCCTTCCTGGTCTCGGAGGCTGATCTCTTCTGCCTCCTGTGCCCTGGATCCCTTTCTCCAGGAAGCTTCTCTTCCCTGTGTAGTTAGCCTCCCCCGTCTTCCAATGGCACCCTCTTTCTGTTTAGGGACGAAACCAAGTCTTTTCCCTCTTATCCCCACCTCCAGCATTCCCCGATCCTGCTTCTCCCCCACTTCCTGCTGTACCACCCACCGAAGGGAACTTTGACTCCATGAACGACTGCTTTCTGGAAAATCTTTTCTTGGTTTCCCTAACTTCACTTTACTTTGGTTTTTCTTTGTCTCTCCCCTCTGCCTCTCAGTCACCTTTGAGATCTGCTTATCCTTTCACCTCCCCTTATTGTCAGTGTTACCTGGGCAACCCCCTTCTTGTGTTTTCCCTCAGTTTCTCTAGAAACTTGCCTGAAGATTTGTCCCAAAATAGCCCAAATGGACCTGTATGGAGTAAAGAGGATCAGTATGGAGTCTGTCTAGCGTTCCTTCTCTTCCACTCAGGCATGGGCTACCCCATGAACAGCTCTCCGAACCATCTCCACTCGCTCTGCCGTTACCCGGCCCTGGCCCTCTTTCCCTTTTGCCTCCCAGTTATGTGCCTTTTTCCCGTGTGGCCTGGCCAGGGCACTTTCCCAACTGCTGCCCTTGTGGTTGACTGTGGGCAGGTGTGCAGCCCAAAAGGCCGTGCCTCAGCTTCGAAGCCCTTGGAATCTTGTCTTGCCGTGGTTGTAGGCCTCCAGTGTGTGTTGTCAGCTGTGGTGATGTGTGTCACAAGTAATTTCTCTTTCTTTTGAAACAGTCTTACTCTATCGCTCAGGCTGTCATGCAGTGGTGCAGTCTCGGCTCACTGCAACCTCCTCTTCCCTGCTCAAGCCATCTTCTAGCCTCAGCCTGCCAAGAAGCTGGGACCACAGGCACGAACCATCATACCCGGCTGATTTTTTTGTATTTTTTGTAGAGACAAGATTCGCCATGTTGCCCAGGCTGGTTGGTCTCAACCTCCTGAGTTCAAAGTAATCTACCCACCTTGGCTTTCCAAAGAGCTAGGATTACAGGTGTGAGCCACCACACCCGGCCACAAGTAACTTCTTAGTAATAAAGTACTAGGGCTTGTCAATGACTTTCTTTTTAAAATTTACATTTTAGATTCATTCGGATTCAAAGTTGGCTCTCAGCAGTGTCAGCTGCACTGTCATCCTGAAATACTCCTGTGGAAGAGAACGTGATGGTGCTCCTGTTGTGCTGGTGATACACAAGATCCCAGACCCACCTGACGGGTCTGTTGGGGACTGAAGATCGTGCAGCAATAGCCTAAGGTAAAAAAACCCTTGAAAGACAGGTCCAAGCTCTTCAATGCAATAGACCCTGTTCCTCAGTAGGTCAGCCTGAGGGCCCCCCCAGGGATACCTCCCCACCTCAGCACCGTACCCCACTTTCCCCTGGTCTCGTGATGAACCCTTTTCCAGGCTGTCATCTCACCCTGAGTCTTACGTGCCAGCCAGGCAGCTACTGTCCTCTATTCATATCTTGAAGGCACAGTGCTGGCTCATAGTAGACATTTGATGAATTTCTGTTAAATGATTGAGTGAATCAAGAGTATCTACAGAGTATAGCATTTATGATAAGACAAGGCTAACTGGGAGACAGAACAAGATTGGTGTTCTGGAGTAACTGGGTAGGTCTTAAGATGAAGATGTTGGGGTGTGCTGGGCGCAGTGGCTCACCTTTAATCCCAGCACTTCGGGAGGCTGAGGCAGGGGGATCACTTGAGCCCAGGAGTTCAAGACCAGCTTGGGCAACATGGCAAAATCCCGTCTCTACAAAAAATACAAAAGTTAGCTGGGTGGTGCATGCCTGTAGTCCCAGCTACTTGGGTGACTGAGGTGGGAGGATTACTTGAGCCCAGGAGGCAGAGGTTGCCACAAGCTAAGATCATGCCATTGCACTCCAGCCTGGGTGACAGAGCAAGACTAGATCTAAAAAAAAAAAATAAAGGTGGGGGGGCCCAGTGGCTCTGGCCAGATGTTGTGGCACTTGCGGAGGCGAGGCCATGAGTTCAAGGCCAACCTGAGCAACCTTACAAGTTCTCATTGACTGGCAAAAAAAAAGAAAAAAGATTTTGGAGTGTGACCCTGTTCTGCAGACGGCCTGTGAAGGCCTGGATGTTCATACTCTGGGATTGCAGTTTCCTCAGTCATGAAGTGAGAGCTGAGTTAAGTCCCCTCCAGTGTGACATCCGAGAGCAGTTGTGGGCCCAAGATCGTAGCCTGTGTTTCCTCTGCAGCTTTACCGAGCCCCCCACAAGTGCCGTCTCGCAATAGGCCTTCAGTTCTTGGATTTATTAGTGGCTGAAAGTTCTTGCAAGATGGGCCTGAAGCTGTTGCCACTTAACCTTTCTGAGGCTCTTCTGACTGGAAGGAGCTCCGCTTTCTGGCCATAGTCTTGCTTGAGCCTCCTTAGCCATCTTGTCACCTGTTAGAGGCAGCCCTGCTATCTCTGGTGACCCTTTTGAAACATTAGCCTGGTGAGTAATGTTTAACATCACTCATTGTCAGATCTTTTTTATCTTTTTTGAGTTTCAATACCAGTAAGTCTTCATTTATTTGTCTCTTTCCAGGGAAAGGAGAAGGGAAGTGAAAAGGGTCAGCATGTGTGTTACAAAGGGAAAGGAAGTACCTGGTACAGAAAAATCAACCATCCAATAGATGCACCGCAGAGGGGGGTCACCAAAGCCCAAGGGGCCTTGGCCTCCTGCAATTCAGGAATGAGGGGAAGGGATCAGGGAAGGTACAAGCCTTTCTACCCTCCCTCCCTGCCCCTACATTCAAGATTTTACATACAGCTTTGGTTTCTAGCAGTAAACATGGAGGTTATATTCATCTGTCTCCTTGTAAACAATCTTGTGGCCACTTTGGCATAAGTTGTTGCACTGGGCCAGGTGTGGTGGCTCATGCCTGTAATCCCAGCACTTTAAGAGGCCAGGGGAAGAAGATTGCTTGAGCCCAGGAGTTTGAGACCTTGTCTCTACACAAAAATAAAAAGAATTAGTCAGGCGTGTTGGTACACACCTGTAGTTCCAACTACTTGGGAGGCTGAGGTGGGAGGATCACTTAAGCCTGGAGGATTGAGGCTGCAGTGAGCCAAGATTGTACCCCTACACTCCAGTCTGGGCGACAGAGCAAGACCTTGTCTCAAAAAAAAAAAAAAGTTTCTTGTACCCGCATAAAAGTTCCTAAGTGACTTGTATATACTCATATTCCTTTGCCTGGTCTCCTGACCCCACTTGTAGGTGGAAGGCCCCCAGTTGCTTCTCTTTCCTTTGAGATTATAGATTAAATCAGTCTAATCCATCCACATAAAGCAGTGTCGTGAGTGTTTTGGTGAACCACGTTGACTCCGGTTGGGAACAAAAGGTGGAGGGCTCTGGACTTCTTCAGGGTGTTTGCATAAATCATTTAAGAGTTGCAGAGACAACCTGAGAATTAAATACACGCGTTTGTGGGTATGTAGGTTTTCTTTTGGGGGAGGTGAATGGAGAAGAGGGGAGAGTAGAAGTCAAGTTTTAGAAGATCTGGTCCAAAACAGGAAATAGAGGTAGGGGAACCAAAGAAAGGATAGTTCAAGATCCCTGCTTCAGGAAGAGGTCCCCACACTAATGTTTCAGATCCCTTTTGCCTGGTTCAGAACCTTCTGTAAAGATGCTTTGGCCATTTTTCTCAATACAAAAAAGTTTGTAAGCAGGAAACCCCAAAAGAACGTGGAGAAAGACCAACACATTATATTTACACAGACTAGGCCACCTAGCAGTCACCAGCTGAGACACAGTGAAGTCCTACAAAGTCCAGACAAATAACAGGAATCAAGGGGGCAGCATCAGGAGAAACAAACCCAGGGTCAGATGTGCACCCCCAAACACGTTCTGTCGCGCTTGTCTCAGTCCAGCAAGGGAGGTTTGCAGTGATCCTACAGCATGTAAATGAAGCTCCCTTTTCCCCTGAGTTACTGTCATACTGAATTCATGCTGCAGCAGGGCAGGTCGCTGGCTATGCGTACCACATGGGGAGGCCCTCCCTTGAACCCAAGAGTTTAGAAAGGTTAAGAATGGTAGTCCTTGCCTCATTTATCCTCTGGACTGCACAGGATGAGTACAAGGCACTGGTCTTAAAACTTAGCCTTACCAAGTCACCTGTTTACAAATACACACGCATACCCCGTTATGGATGGTAGGCCCAGCCCAATCCAGTGAAGGATGGATCTGGTGTGTGAAGCAAGTCCCATGCCCTAGGATTAGGAAACCCCTGTCTAACCTTGGTGTCCCTTGGTGTCTCTGTACCTTAGTCTAATTTTCAATCTTCCAGTAACCAGAGATCAAGTCTTGGGCAATCCAGTTGAACCTAGTCTCCCGTGAAACGTTTTCAAGGTGGAGGGGGCTTCAGGAGGACATTGGCAGAAAAGCCGGCTCTCATTGGCAGGAATGAGGTAGTTCAATAGGCTGGGTTCTCCACATAGTTGCTCTTCGTGGTGAGAAAAATAACTGAAAGTATTCCAGCTGTGCGGACCTGGAGCTGCTGCCGACTTATCCCTGAGGTTGCTCAGTACCTGAGAACAGTGCAGGAATGAGAGTCCTAGATTAAAACAGACAACAATAGCAACAGAACACTAAAGGGAATAGATGCTGAGATGCGCAGGATACATCAGTAGCACAGCTGGCGCTCTGAGCACCCAGGAGACGGGACCGAGGTACAGCATCCAAAGGAGTGAATCAGTCCCATCGCGCTGGCCCGGAGCGGGGTGGGGTGACTGTGGGAGCAGCAGGTCTTCGGTGGGTCCCCCAGCCACCCTATCTGCCTGTCTCTGCCACCCACTGCTTGGGACCGTTCCCAGGACCCTTTCCCAAGAGTGGGCTGTAAGGAAACAAGATGTGAATAAAGCCTGCCTGCCATGAGGGATCCCCCTCAGAAGGTAGTGGCTGTGGGTCAGGTCCGTTAGTTAATTAATTAATCTGGTCTCATGCTTGACCATTTCACTCTGGCATGGGAAATATTATGATTACCCATCCTTTTTTTTTTGGAGACAGTTTTGCTCTTGTTACCCAGGCTGGAGTGCAATCTCCGCCTCCTGGGTTCAAGCAATTCTCCTGCCTCAGCCTTGCGAGTAGCTGGGATTACAGGCGCGTGCCACCATGCCCAGCTAATATTTTGTATTTTTAGTAGAGATGGGGTTTCATCATGTTAACCAGGATGGTCTCGATCTCTTGACCTCGTGATCCATCTGCTTTGGGCTTCCAAAGTGCTGGGATTATAAACGTGAGCCCCAGTTCCTGGCCTACCCATCCTTCTTAAAAGGGAAAACAACTTCTCTGACCAGGCCACTTTTGAAAGCTGGAGATTCTAGAGGCGGTGCCTCAGACAAAGCATGTAGGCTCCAGGGCAATTTCCCCTAGCTCCCCTCCTTTGCATTTGGATAGAGCTCAGTTGGAGTTCCTTTGCCTTCCCAATTCCCCAACCAAGAGGGTAGAAGGGCTGGTGCTGTGAACCCTGGCCTGAGATACATGGTAGGTAGTGCCAGCCAGCCCCAACCCACCCCAGCCCCACTTTCTCCACTCTACTGACAGATGCCTGCTCCTTGAAACTTCATGGTAGCAGAGGAATAGCCCACAGCCCTGTGACTCAAGTCTTGGCCTCCAGGAGTGGGACAGGGCTGCGGATCTCTTCTTCCTTCCAGAAATGGGTTGGCTTTTCCTGTGCACTGGGAGCTGCCTGGGCCTTCAGTGGACATGAGGCCACCAGGTGGCTGAAACTCTGGCAGAAGGGGAGCTTCTAGGGCTGGGATGGCAGCTTGTGACGGTCTAGGCCTTTCCAGCTGTAGCGCTGTCTCCCCGTAATCTGCACTCCTGCATGTTCTTCCCCTGTGACTGCCTCTCACTCTCAATGCAGAACACCCTGCCAGGCCCTGGGTGGACTTCTTCAAGGTGAGCCCCACTGCCTCACCCTCCATCAGGTTCCAGAAGCCCTCTGTGTGCAGCTTGCTCTGGTGCACAAAGACATCCATCAGGTGTGAGTGCAGCCCCGGTGCTGGCAGTCATGGGCAGGATGCCCAACCTTATGCACACATTAAACCCCATGCAGGTGCCAGCATTGTGCCACAGCTGCAACTCGCTCGCTGCCTGTCCTCTGCTGCCTTGGCACAGCCACCTGCAACCTGCTGGTGGGACCCAGAGCCCATGTTCTTGGGCGGAGCCTGCAACCCCAGGCCCTTGGTCAACAGCTGTTGGCCAGAGAAGTGCAGAGGCAGGAGGGCCAGGTTTTCCATCTGC